CTCGGTTCTTCGGCCGAGGCTGACGCCTTCCCCCCTTCCTCGGACAATCCTGCCTTGAGGTCCAAGGAGGCGCGCGCGGCCTTTCGAGGTCCCGATGCAAAGACCCAGGTCCTGGCTGTCATCTCGAATGCGCGCCAGCTTAGGCATCGCGACGACGCCAAGCAGGCTAGGGAGTTGTTGGCAGAGTTTTGCTAACAGGCCACGCTCGCGGAAGGCGAGCTTGCTCGCAGAGTCAGCAACGGCCCGTCTGGATCTGCTGACCCGATCTTTGGAGATGAGGAGGGGGAAGGTGGCCGCGCGCCCCTGGCCGGAAAGCAGACTTTCAATCACATCCTCGGAGAGTGGCGAAGGACTTGGCGGGGGGAAGCTCGGTCTGCGGAGGCTCACCTGGGGCCCTGGGGCGCGTCGGTTGATTTGCCACCCAACACTGCCGAGAAGGTCTGGAGCGCTTGCCAGCGTTTCGCCCCCAGCACAGCTCTGGGTCGCGACGTCTCCCATCCCAGGCTCGCGGCCTAGCCCCCATTCGGATTTGCAGGAGGTTCGCCGACGTCCTGAACGGATGGGAACCTTGGCACGATGCGGGCGGGCTGCGTCTCGTTCTGGTCGCTTTAGGCCGCGGGAGGGGTCAGGCCCATTGGCGCCCTCCCGCTGCGGGCCTGCGCGCAGTTCAAGACTCGCAACCTAGATTGTCACAGGTGGGAGCGTTCGCACTACTGCAGGATCTTCTGAGGCTGTGGCAGCTCGCCGGCTTTGCGACAGGAGCGCGTGGATCCATGGTATGCGTTGGCCCGCATTCTGGACGGCAGGGCCCGCCCGCGGCCTCAGCACTTCTGGGCCTCAGGGAGTACTGCGCGAGCTGCCCGGGCCTGTGGGCGCCCGCTCCGTCTGGCACGCAGGTTGCGGCCCCTGCGCCGAGCGCGGCGCGGCGGCTTTCCAAGGCATCGCGAGCGCCCCCCATCAATGCTAACGCCATGATGTTCCAACCTACTTTAAGCCTTGATCACAAGAATGAATTTCGATCACCAAGAAAACACCCCAAACATCGAGGGCTGCCACGCGTCGGGCCCTGGGAGACATTATTTCGACACTTTTCTGGGCGCTCGAGATTATTTCTGGGGCGCGGCCCATAAGTAGGATGGGAGCAACGCAGTGCCAACGGCACGGCGATCGCAGGGTGCTCGTGCGCGACGGCGATGGCTCGGGTGATACTGCGGTGCGTCTTGGCCCGCGCAGCGTCGGACCACTCCAGCCGCCCCCCCCCCCCCGCAGCGTCGCCGACGCCGTCGTGCTCTCCAGGCCGCGGGGGGGCCAGGGGCGGTCGAGACCCGGCCGGCGCGGGCGCTTGCCGCCGTCGTCCCAGATGTTCCGAGCAGCGAGTTGGCTGGCCCCCGGAAGTTCGCTGGTTCTCGCTATAAGCCCGCTGCCCCCCATTGGTCCAGAGGCTCGGTCTGAGTCGGGCGAAGAGAACTATACGCATGCGCGGATCCTGGCAAGGCCCGCCCTTGACCCAGGATCGGTGCATATACTTTCCTGGCCAAGGTAGCGGGCGCATGCGCCGATCCTGGGCTCAGGATGGGCCTGGCCAGAATCGGTGCATGTGCATATAGTTCTCTTTCCCCTACTGAAGCCCACGAGGACCTTGGGGCTGATGACCCCTCACCTCGAGAGGCCCCTTGGGGCCCACCGCCCACGACCGAGGCTGCTCCAGGGTTGGGGGGCCAAGGTAGGTTCGGTCAAACTGGCGGGGCCGTCGGCGGTGGCCCTCTCTGGGGTTCTAGCACCTGGGGCACGCGCGACGGCCGCTTGAGCGGCCCGAGGGTCGCCGCAGCGAAGGCCGAGGCCAGGTTTCCTGAAGAGGCCCCTATGGGGCTCGCCCTCGGGGCCAGCAAGGCTTGGCGGCAGCGATGCCCCCTCGTGCTCGCACCGGCAAACAGTGGGAAGTAGTATGGCGGCGTGTTCTCTGGGACGGCCAGCTCAACCGCCAGGTCCTAGATACGCTCATGAGTCAGGCTCAGGCGCAGGCTAACAAGCCCAGACCTTGGGTCTCGTGCGCAGGCGCTTGTCCCCACAATGCGGAAGGTTGGGTGGACGTTCTCTGGGGCGACTGGAGTGGTGGACGGCGGGGGGCGGGAGCGGGATGTGATGTTCCATTGTGAAACACGTGCTCTTTGCTTCCAGGATGAAAGCGAGTGCTGGGACATGCCTGTCTCCTGGAAGCCTTCCTCTACCTCACGGACGTTGACATGCTCACGGCCCTCCTCACGCAGCACTCGAGGATGGTGTTCTTGGCGCGCCGATGGACGGCAACACCAATCCACCCTCCGGGACTTCGCCCCCGGCTCCCGTCCATGGCGTACCTTGTCCTGCGCAAGATCTTCGGCACCGCCTGTACTTTGCACCTTCCGGCCGCCTGAGGCCCCGCCCGCCGGCGCCTTGTCTCCCCAATTAGGGTTTCGCGCGCCCCGCCTAGCTCTTAACTGGAAGGGGCCCGTTCCCGACCCGCCGACCAAAAAAGTCTCCTGGAAGCCCGTGCCTGAGCTGTTGCGGTTGAAGCCCAGTGACGATGGGGAAGATCACCACGTGATGCTTTGAGGGGAATCATCTCGGGGTCTCGCTGCTGTCGTGTGCGCTTGTGCCAGCAACAGCAAACGCTCCCAGTGGAATGCCAGGTGGCGCTCCGCAGGGCGCGACAGTCTTCCTAGTCGTGATGTCGCCCGCGCGGCCCTGGAAGGCTGGCGCCGGGGCAGTCTTGCGGGCGCGGTCAAGCTGGCCCCCGAGGGGCTTGCGTCGGCACCACAGGCCTGGCGCGAAAGGTGTTCCATCGGGATTGCCCCTGATCTTTTAAGTCGGGCCTGTCTTTCTACAGGGGGATCCTCAAAAATAGTTAAGAATAGTCAAAAAATCAGATGAGGACGATTTTCCGACTATTTCTGATCAGTTGGGGAGCACGTTTGATTATATTTTAATTTTTGTTGCCAAAATCCCCTTGTAGGGGGACGCGCCCGACCTAACCCTGATCCTGGGGCCTGCTTCGGGACGGGATCCTTCCCGGCGGAGCGGCGATGTGGGTGAGGTGGGGATGAGTCTCCCTTCCGTCTCGCTGGCCGCTGCGCATGCCTTTTGCGGTGGCTTCCGCTTCGGTGCGGACTCCCCAGCAGTGAGAGTTGCAGGTTGGCCGCTCATGCTTCGCAGTGCCCAAGGGCAGCTCTTTCCTGAGGTCTCTGTGGCGTGGTTCCTCCTGGCTGGGGTCCAGCAGCCCGCGAGGGACGGCGAAGGGTACGCTCGAAGCGCTGGGGGAGGATGGCAGGGCCAGGCCCTCGCTCTCAGTTGTCGCGAGTGCTGGCGGCGCGCCGTGTGTCCGGGCCATCAGGGCCCGAAGGGCATGCGCCGAAGGCTTCAAGCGCCTTTCCGGGGCCAAGGCCCCGACAGCCAGGAGCCGCTAGAGGAACTCGAGGCACCCGACGAGACTTGGGGTGGCTCTGAGGGATGGTCGTCCGCCGTCGCCGTCGACTCGGGCCCGTGGGGAGAGCCACTTCGGAGAGTCAGCGTCAGGAAAGTGCGCCCCGAGGGGGAGAGATTCCCCCGTTCCTCCAGCGAGGTCCGCCGCCTCAGGCTGACCCGTCAGTCATCCTTTGCGCCGTCGACCTGGCAGCCAGGGACGAGGCCGCACGCATTGGTGTTCCGGCCCCGGAGACCAGGGCGGAGGCCCGTGCGAGGCGCGGCGCCCCGCCCGAAGGCGGCCTCGGGTGATGTAAAGGGGGGGGGGCTGCCGGCTGGCCCCGCCCGAGGTGGACCGCAGCCTCGGGCGGGGTGACAAGCTCTCTTCGAATGGGAACCCCAACCCACTTTTCCTCCTCTCTCCCCTTGTCTCCTCCCTTCATGGGCGTCGCAAGCTCTTACTCGCTTGTGGATACTACTCTCCTCTTTCCCTTGAAGTTGCCTGGAAGAACTCCCGCCCACATCTGCGTCCCGCCTTCTACGCACAGGATTTGACCGAACTATCCCTGTTTTTTTCAGATCGGTTTTTACAGTCCGATTATTGTTCGTTTCCAATATTTCAAGAATTTGCTCTCGGTGCGGCGTTGGCATCATTGTCAGATCGGCGCTGTGCTCCCGTCGTTCAGAATGGCGCTCTCGCCCCAGTATGGACCACTTTTCTGGATCCCGCAGGTCCCACAGGTCTCGCAGGTCTCGCATGCTCCACAAGACCCACAGGTGTCGCAGGTCGTCCCACAAGCACTACAAGTATGACAGGTTCCACAAGTCCCAATCTGGACAGGTGTCGCATGCCCCGCATGTCCCACAGGTCCGACAGGTCCCACAAACCCACAGGTCCCACAGGTGTCGCATGTCTCGCAGGTTCCACAGAAGTCCAGCAGGTACCACAGGTCCCGCCAGTGCCACAGGTCTCGCAGGTCTCACAGGTACCACAGTTTCAAGAGGTCCCACAGGTCCCACATGTGTGGGAGTTCTCACTAGCCCCACAGGCCACAGGGGTCTCCCAGGTCCTCCCACAGGTCCCGCAGGCCCCACAGGTCCCACAGGTCCCACAGGTCCACAGTTCCCGCCTTCCCCACTGGTTCCACAGGTCCCACAGATCGCACAGGTCCCGCAGTTCCCACCTGTCCCACATGTCCTACATGTCACGTCCTCCTCCTCCTCCTGCTCCTCCTGCTCCTCCTCCTCCTCAACCGTCTCCGCCTCCTCCTCCTCCTTCCCTCGCCTCCTCAACTCTCGTCTTTCCTCCTTTACCTTCCGCTCCCGTCTCTCTCTCTTTCTCTCTTTTTCTACCTCCTCCACGCCCTTCTTTCGTTCTCTCGTTTCCTTCCTTCTCCTTCTCTGTTTTGTTTCTCTCTCTCTCTCTCTCTCTTTTCTCTCTCTCCCTCTCTCTCGTTCTCTTTCTCTCTCTCCCTCGTTCTCTCCCTCTCTCTCTCAGATCCGCCGAGTGTCCGGGCGCGCCCCGGGCGCGGCCGGCGCGCCGCCCCAGCAGCGCACGGCAGGCCCTGGAGATCCTCTCGTGAGCGCTCTCGGGGCGGCCCGCCGCGGGGAGCGTTCTCGTGGCTTCTCCTGCGGTGTCCCTCGGGGAGGCGCCGCGGGCCGCTGGGCCTAAAATGCACCGCCTGGGAGCGGCGCATCCGCGCTGCCTCGGGGTCGCGCCCCGAGATTCTGGGGAGCCGTCGGGCAGTGCCTGGCGTGGATTCCACAGCCCCCGCAGTTGCAGATGAGAGTGAGGGGGCGGTGGGGTCGTTAGCAGTCTGCAAGGCTGGCTCGCGGGTGGGTCGCTGGGTGGTCGCAGGATGGGTCGCGGGGTGGGTCGCGGGTGAGGAGGAGGAGGAGGAGGAGGAGGAGGAGGAAAACGACGACGACAACAACAATAATAACAATATTAACAGTCAGTTTGAGACTGTTCGTTCTTACCAGCTCGCGGGCCATTCAACACGTCTATCCCAAAGTCTCGGTACCCGCGATACCCGCCCTCGTCGTCTTCGATCGTACCCCCTTTGGGGTATATCTTCCTTACCTGCCACGTGTAATTGGTTCAGCCCCTAAAACAGGTGAAGAACGGATAGAAAGGGGAGGGAAAAGGATGGAGCATTGGAGAGATCAGCAGGAGTGGTGTACAAGCAGAAGACACTTGGCAGAACCAGACGGGCAGATCGGGCGGGTAGACCCTACCGGGCGGGCCGGGAAGGCGGGCCCAGGCGGCCAGGTCGAGCAGGCGGATTGCTGAAGCGTGCGTCCTGCATGAATCGCGAGGAACTATCCAGCGATAGCGCGATTCCCGAGTAAATCATGTAAGAAAAGTCAACTCGAAAGCGCGATTCCTGAGCGTCGAGGGCGCGGCGTTTGGATTAATTGCCAAGAATTCCGACGCGAAAGCGCGATTCTTGCAGACATTGTGAGAAAGTCCCGCGCGAAAGCGCGTTTTTAGAATACCTTGGAACCGCTGTTGCTGTAAGCCGGGGGCCAACGACACAGTCTGGTGACCCCGTACTTCTCTGAGAAACAGCAGGGTGCGAGCCCCGAGAGGAGCAATTCAATTGAAACACGCGATGGTCACCGAAAGGGGGGTGATCAACAATCTGTATTATCTGAAGAGATATTTCATCACCAACAAAAACAATAGTGTTAAGACTGTTCGCTCTTATCTGTTCGCGTGCCAGTCAACACGTCTATCCCAAACCCTCGATATCCGCCTCCTTCGTCTTCGATCGTGTCGCCTTAGGGGTCTATCTGCCATACCTGAAGCGTGTATTTCGTGCAGCCCTCAAGGCAGGGGAAGAGAGGACGGATGGAAAGAATGGGCGGGGGGATGGAGGAGGATGGAACACGAAGGAGAATAGCAGGAGAGGGGGCTGGGAGCAAAAAACACGCGGCAGAGCCAGACGGGCTGATCGGGCGGGTAGACCCTAACGGGCGGGTCGGGAAGGCGGGCACAGGTGGCCAGGTCGAGCAGGCGGATTGCTGAAGCGTGCGTCCTGCATGGATCATCTGGAATTCCCGAGCACATATTGCGAGGAAGTCCCACGCAAGAGCGCGATTCCTGTAGAAGTTGTGGGGAAGTCCCGCGCGAGAGCGTGATTTGAGAACACACAGTGAGGAAGTATCAGGCGGGAGCCGCTGTTATATTAAAAAAGGGGGGCCACAGGCACAGTTTGGTGACACTTCATTTTCTCTTTGTTCCCAGCCATCCTGTGGTGTTGGGTCCTCGTTTTGAAGAGACAGCGCCCCGCGTCCCACCTCCTCTCCTCCTCCTCCCCCTCCTCGCCCTCCTCCCTCCTCCCCCTCCTTGCCTCTGCTCTCGGCACACCCCTCACACGTTTCGTAGCCCCATAGGGAGCTCCACCGAAGGTCCCAGTGGCACAGCCCGCATGCGGTTCCCCCACCCAGGACAGCGTTTCGTGGCCCCATAGGGAGCTCCACCGAAGGTCCCAGTGGCACACGCCGCATGCGGTTCCCCCACCCAGGGCAGCGTTTCGTAGCCCCATAGGGAGCTCCACCGAAGGTCCCAGTGGCACAGCCCGCATGCGGTTCCCCCCCAGGGCAGCGTTTCGTAGCCCCATAGGGAGCTCCACCGAAGGTCCCAGTGGCACAGCCCGCATGCGGTTCCCCCACCCAGGGCAGCGTTTCGTGGCCCCATAGGGAGCTCCACCGAAGGCCCCAGTGGGGGTGTTCGCATGCGGTTCCCCCACCCAGGGCAGCGTTTCGTGGCCCCATAGGGAGCTCCACCGAAGGCCCCAGTGGGGGTGTTCGCATGCGGTTCCCCCACCCAGGGCAGCGTTTCGTGGCCCCATAGGGAGCTCCACCGAAGGCCCCAGTGGGGGTGTTCGCATGCGGTTCCCCCACCCAGGGCAGCGTTTCGTAGCCCCATAGGGAGCTCCACCGAAGGCCCCAGTGGGGGTGTTCGCATGCGGTTCCCCCACCCAGGGCAGCGTTTCGTGGCCCCATAGGGAGCTCCACCGAAGGCCCCAGTGGGGGTGTTCGCATGCGGTTCCCCCACCCAGGGCAGCGTTTCGTGGCCCCATAGGGAGCTCCACCGAAGGCCCCAGTGGGGGTGTTCGCATGCGGTTCCCCCACCCAGGGCAGCGTTTCGTGGCCCCATAGGGAGCTCCACCGAAGGCCCCAGTGGGGGTGTTCGCATGCGGTTCCCCCACCCAGGGCAGCGTTTCGTAGCCCCATAGGGAGCTCCACCGAAGGCCCCAGTGGCACAGCCCGCATGCGGTTTCCCCACCCAGGGCAGCGTTTCGTAGCCCCATAGGAGCTCCACCGAAGGTCCCAGTGGCACAGCCCGCATGCGGTTCCCCCACCCAGGGCAGCGTTTCGTGGCCCCATAGGGAGCTCCACCGAAGGTCCCAGTGGCGCAGTTCGCATGCGGTTCCCCCACCCAGGGCAGCGTTTCGTGGCCCCATAGGTAGCTCCACCGAAGGTCCCAGTGGCGCAGTTCGCATGCGTCCCCCAGTACTGCGTTTCGTGGCCCCATAGGGAGCTCCACCGAAGGTCCCAGTGGCGCAGTTCGCATGCGTGGCAGTTTCCCCACCCACCGAAGTCCAGTATGCGTCCCCCCCCCGCAGCTTCGTGGCCCCATAGGGGAGTTCTCGCATGGGATAGGTCCTGGCGCAGTTCGCATGCGTCCCCCCCCCCCCGCCCAGGGCAGCGCTTCGTGGCCCCATAGGGAGCTCCACCGAAGGTCCCAGTGGCGCAGTTCGCATGCGTCCTCCCCACACCCAGTACAGCGCTTCGTGGCCCCATAGAGAGTTCCACCGAAGGTCCCAGTGGCGCAGTTCGCATGCGTCCCCCCCCCGCCCAGTACAGCGTTTCGTGGCCCCATACGGGGCTTCCCCGAATGCGATACCCACAACTGCATATGGTTGGGTCCTTCGCCAGGCTAATTTTAAAATGGGGTGCGACCCCCGGGATAACCATTTTCATCAAAAGTAGTATGGGTACCGGAGAGGGGGAATCAAGAACAACTGAAATGGGAACGCAACGGCGGCAACAACAACAAACATGATGTTAATACTGTTCGTTCCTATCCGATCGCGTGCCATTCGACACGTATACCCCAAACTCGGTACCCGCCTGTTTCGTATTCGATCGTACCCCGTTGGGATTATATCTTGTTTACCTGCCACTCTCATTTAGCGCAGCCCCTAAAACAGGGGAGAAGAGGACGGATGGAAGGGAGAGGGAAAATGATGGAGCACGGGAGAAATTAGCAGGAGGGGGTCGGAGCAGAAAACACGTGGCAGAACCAGACGGGCATATCGGGCGGGTACATTCTAGCGGGCGTTCGGAAAGGCGGGCCCAGGCGGCCAGGTCGAGCAGGCGGGTTGCTGAAACATGAATCCTGCATGAATCGCAAGGAAACCAAGTAAACCGCGAGGAAGGCCACGACAAGAGCGTGATTCCAAAGTGTAGAGGACGCGGCGCTTGATAACTTGTGCGGAAGTCCGACGCGAGAGCGCGATTCTTGAATGGATTGTGGGGAAGTCCCGCGCGAGAGTGCGATTATGCAACGAACTGTGAGGAAGTATCAGGCGGGAGCCGCTGCTGTTGTAGCTCGGGGGCTAACAGCGCAGCTTGAGCACGATGATTTCCCATGATAGGAAACAGAGTGCGAGCCCCGAAGGGCGCACTTCAACTGAAAAGAGCGCGACGTGCATCGGTGGAATGTGGAGCAGCAACCACTATTTCTAAGGCCTCACGGCTGGCGCCGCCGACCCTGGAGGCGTCGGCCCCCGACAGAGATGGGAGGGAGAGGGCGGGCCATGGGCGCCGGGATGGTGGCATTCTGACCCGGGACCACCCCCGGGGACCCCCCCCCCCCGGGACCACCTCGGGAGCCTTGAGACGGGGGTCAATGCAAACGGGGGTCAGCCAGGGCACTGGATCCTGCAGGATCCTGCAGAGACCCCCTCTGGCTGACCCGGGTTAGCGTGCCGCGAGGCGGCCGCGCATATTGGTTGACCCGGGTTTGCGAGGACCTGCGTTGCAGTTTTTTTTCCTGCATTGCAGTTATTTGATTTCCCGCTGACCCGGGTCTGGATGGACCCGGGTCAGAAGAACTCCGACCACCCCACCGGACCTCCCGGGACCCCCACTTCCGCCCCCCCCCCTCGCGGGGAAGGGATCAAAGGGAAGGGGTTTCCCATCGACCCCATGACGGCGTTACTGAATTTCACGGTGGATGGGCTGGTGTAATTCGCTATGGCTGGCGCGCTTGAGGACGAGGGGAAGGAGGGGACGTGATGGCGGCGGCGACGCGAAGGCGACGGCGTGAAGATGGAACAGCCCCTGTCACACGCCGGCAGGGTCGGCGGATTTTTCACGAATGAGAGTTCAACAACAACAACAACAACAACAACAACAACAACAACAACAACAACAATCATATTACCCTCATGCGCGATATTTCCACACGAAGCATGCGTCCGTCATGATAACCATCCCCATCATGGGGGACTATTGTTCTATAGCGGGGTCCGTTATTTCCATTTCCAGATCCCCCGCCCAATGAGGT